ATATTCACATTTTTGCAATATGAACATGTCTGGTTCATGTTAAAACAGGGTGACATATCCATCATCCTGTTTAAACAAAGTGCAACATATAAATTGTAGTAGATTGATTACTTTAATACCCTTAAGTGCCTTAATTGAAATTACCTACTAAATTATCTACTATAATGTCAGTTAGATACAACTTATACAATCAACCGATCAAGAAAAGTGCAGTTTGAAATAGAAATTGTACGTGCAATGGCTAAAAGTATTCGTACGATTTTAATGCCATTTTTAATGATAAGTTATGTGTTTGGCCTAAGAATTGCTAATTTATCTAATCATTTAAAACTATGGTTTAGTATTATATATACGATGCTTTTTTGGATAGCTTTCTATTTTCTTACAATGTCTGCATTATCATATTTTCATAGATCGTATCCTTTCGAGTTTCACATATTCTATTCGCTAGAAATATTTATAAACTTACTGTCAATCTTGTTTGGTGTTTATTATAATAAGGTAAGTAAATATATATGTTAATAGATATAATTATTACTATAATAAGCAATTTTGAATGTATTTTTACAGTTACGATATTTAAAGTAAAATATTGATAGTATGCATTGTATGATAAAATTCTTCACATCTAATAAAATTGTTATTTTAAAAAAATTCTGTAAAAGAAAACGTATTAAAAAATTACAGGTTTTTGATAACGAAAGTACATTAGACATTAGATACATAAACTATAATAAATACCATTACACTTCTAAATAAGTAATTATTACTGTGTTTGCTCGTCTCTAATTGCATCCTTTTTAGAAATTCCAAAACTGCATGAAGAAACTCGACATTATTGACAATACACTGTTTGAACTCGGAACAGTGACAGACTATGGCAAGTTACATAAGAAAATACTGTGGCTTATCTTAGGATGGTGTGTAATAGTCATATTAATGAACAGTTTAACGGTACTATCCGAAATTGCTAAACATAATTGTGACATTCCGACTGCTATAATTGGCGTCTTTCTACGAAATCATTCTTTTCATATTAATTTTATTGGTGATTTAACTACTACAACTATACTTGGGTTGGTATAACTTTTAAATATATGATTATATATAATAATTATTCCACAATTTAATGTATAATAAATAAAAAAAACTAACTCGTTACCCATAAAAATTTTTGTTATAAATAAAAAATTTATATTTTAAAATATTAAATATTATTATATAATAGTGAAATATTTTATAATATTTATTTATTATTTAAAAGTTGATATATTTATATTTTAATAACAAAATCATTTATCAATTTTTTTATATATTTAGATACATAGGATTAAAATTTGATCAAATTAATAAACACCTTCAGAATTTGACGATAGATAACGACTGCAAAATAAAACAAGATCGGGAAAGTCTCATAAGACATCGACGCCGGTTTTCGAAAACTTTAAATACTAAACGCATAATATGGATCATTAGGTAAAAAATTTTAATTAAATTCCATTACATAAATATTACTAAATAAAACTTAATATATATTTATATACAATATATGCAAAATAAAATGTAATATTCATGCAGACATCTTCATTTGGAATTACGCAAAATATCCCATGAGATAGATTCTATATTCGTAACACAAATGTCTTTCAAAATGGCATGCTATTTTGGTTGGATAGTGTTTGACATCCGCCTAATTTTTTATATAATACTTATCGATAATTATGTGAAATCTAATAAAATAATGCATGTAGCAATAAACCTATTATGGTTTTTTCATAACGTTTTTAAATTTCTACTTATTAATTATGTGTGCGAAACAGTTAGTAACAAGGTAATAATTCTATGTTTAATTTCAAACAATATTTATCTACCTAAAACTTATTTTCAATAAAAACTGACTCAGTTAAGAGATATATTCTATTTTAAACTACTCAATTAGAAGAAGAATTTTTATTTTATATTCTAATTTTAGGCAAGTGCAACAGGAAATTTATTAAATAGATTATTGTATACCACTTATATATATGATGCTGAAGTTCATGAAATCGTAAGTTTTAAAATATAATAATAAATTCGTTGGAACATTATTAAAATAAATATTCAATGACGTCTAAATAATCAATGAGATATGTATATAGGTTAAAAGTAATCGATTGTATTAATATAGATTTCACAATTTTCATTACAAACGGTACATATGCCACTTAAATTCTACGGAATAGGACTTTTTCAATTTGGTTTCAAATTTCTTCACAGGGTATGTAATACTTGATATTAATAAACATAACTTAAATTAATAATTAATATTTAAAAGAGAAATTCATACATTGTCTTTATTTGTAGTTCATCATGTCAATTGCAACCGTTTTAGTTATAGCAATACAAGGGCGAGAAAATAAGTAAACATAGATATTAAATTATAATAGTAAAATTCATAAAATTTAGTTTAAATAGTAATGGACAGTTTATAAAATGCATTATATTTTTCGAATGATTTGATGTATGTCGACATTACAAAAAAGCAAAATTAATAATTGAAAAGAAATATTAATAACTTTTTTAAGTGCATTACAAGGTAAATAATAAATAATCTTTATTATACTTTCATATTGACTTTATCTTTCCACTATTCTTTTTATGCAAAAAAAATCATTCATTTCATACAATATTTTTTATATTATTAATCAAGTAATATACTTTCTACCATAATGGAGAACAATTCTTTGTAATTACATATATGTTATTTGTACATTATCTATTTATTAGAACTGTAATTATAATTAAAATGCATTTTATAACGTTAAAAAAAAGTTTATGTATTGTACGACTATATGAATATTAAATTCTAATCAAAAAATAAAAATTGTAAAAATTATATGTCTATTATGTGCAAAAAGAAGTATTTTATCTATCGTCTACCATTTTTCAATAGATCATATCATATAAATTTCAGTGAATTGATTCCCTAATATTCATAAGTGCCTTAATAGAAATTACGGAAATAACTGTGATTATTCCGTGCAACTTATGCAAATATGAAGTCAGCAAAAGAAAAACAGTTTGAAATAACAACGGTGTACATAATGAGCCAAAGTATTCGAACAATTTTAATGCCACTCCTGATAATTAGTTATATTTTTGATTTAAGTATTGCCAATCTACAGATCACGCAAGAATATGGTTTAATCTCTTGGATATGCTGATAGTTTGGATTATTTACAATTATCTTCTAATGTTGTTCATACCATTTCTCAAGTTTTATACCAGTATCGAGTATAACATTTGCTATTTGCTGGAATTAGTTACAACCTTATTGTCAGTCGTATTTGGAATATACCACAATAAGGTAAAAAAATATTAATATTTTTTCAATAATAATGTAGAATACATTCTGCACATCTGATGATCAAAGTAATTATATATTTTTTAATTTATTATTATTTCATATTTGTCATAGTAAAAAGAAATTGCATAAGATCATAAAATCTTTGCATATTTGCATCAAATTTTTTTTTCTGTATTACAGCAATTATATACTGATCCAAAAAATTAAAGGATAACCTGTTCTGTTCTCTAAAAAAATAGGCAAACTTCAAAATAGAACTACTTCGTCAAAAATGATCGTAACGAGATTTTTAAAAAGCATTTTACAGCTTGAAATCTCCACTTTTCAAGTTGATATTTTAGAAAATAATTAACTGACTTTCTTCGAAGTTGCATTGATACAAATGGAGATGTGACAAATCGCAAAATTTTTTCCTAGCTTTGTAAAGTTCCATGCACCTGAAATAAAAATTGCATACAAAGTGTACAGTTACAGAATGAATCTTTCTCCTTATTTTGTTTTTTTTTTTGTTGAGCGTCGTACGA